AACAAACATTCCATTGAACTGGAAGCTAAGACTTCCCCCTGGACAGTTTGGCCTTCTGATGCCCTTAAGTCAGCAGGCTAAGAAAGGAATAACAGTACTAGGAGGGGGTGAGTGACCCAGACTACCAGGGGGAAATTGGACTGGTTCTCCACAATGGAGGTAATGAAGATTATATCTGGAAGGCAGGAGATTCCTTAGGGTGAATTTTGGTGTTACCATGTCCTGTGATTAGGTCAACGGGAAACTGCAACAACCCAATCCAGAAAGGACAACAAATTGCCCAGACCCTTCAGGGATGAAAGTATGGGTCACTCCTCCAGGGAAAGAGCCAAGACCTGCAGAGGTGCTTGCTGATGGTGGAGGAAATACAGAATGGGTAGTAGAGGTAGGTAGTTACAAATACCAACTTAGGCCATGTGACCAGTTGCAGAAACATGGAGTGTAATTGACATGACTATTTTTGTCCTATTTGGTTAAGAATAGGATTGTATACAATCCTATTGTATACACATATGTTAAGCAGATACTTGAGTTATTCATTTTTGAATGTGTAATTAAGATAAGTGTTAAGTGGTTAAGTGTTGTGAACCTATATAATTATATTGGATTATGAGACACTAAAGGACTAAGCATCCCTGGAAGACCATTATCACCTACTCTAAGATATATAATGCATTGGTCATTGTATGATGGGATAGTTAAATCATGTTAGGTGAAATTATGACCTCAACATTGTTTTCATTTGAAAATTAAGCATGACACAGAGAGATGCTATTGGGTGTCAAGTTAACAAGTGGTGGACTTGTGATTTCTAATCCTGGATGTCAACTTGACTGGATCTGGGATTAACTGAAATGAAAGAGATCTTCTTGATTGGATCATCTGAAGCTGGAAGAAACACCCTAAATGTGGGTGTTACCTTCTGATGGCAGCCCGTATAAAAGACCAAGGCAGAGGAGAATGCCAGGCTTCTTGCTGCTTGCCTTCTCACTCGCTGGTGAGTTCATCTTGCTGCTGTAGACTGAAGACCAGCTGATCTTTTGGAATTTGTCAGATCTCAGTGCCAGATTGGGACTACTGAGACATCCAGCCTTGTGAATTGAGTGACTGCGGATTCTCAGCCTCTCCAGTGTGGTGCAGCCATTGTTGGACTACTTGCACTCTATCCTGTGAGCTAAGCTGATAAATCTCTATACATATATATTCATTCTACCACTTCTGTTTCTTTGGAGAACCCTGACTAATACATGGTGGAACAGGATGTACAGACAATACTAATGCATCTCTCGGCTCTCACCAGCAAAGCTTCCTCATGCAAAAGAGGGCGATGAAAACAGAAGGCCACAACTGCCCAAAATGTAGAGAATAAGAGATTTATTGTGTGGGTTCCTCAGTAGGATTCATATTAAACCTCATCCACCCAGGGCTCAGGGGTCATTGTGGAAGAGATGGTAGAAAGATTGTAAGAACCAGGGATGTGGCATGACCATAAGGAAAGAGAGACCTTTGGGCCCTGGGAATTTGCTGATATGAACTTACAACAATGGTGACAGCACGCACAAGACTCAGGCAAACTCAACCAGAAAGAAACCAGCATAGAGATGGGAAAAATGGGCAGGAAGTCCTAACTTTAGCTGAGGAACTATTTGCAGCTGATCACTGCTGGGTAAGGGAGAGTCAATCTTTAAGGGAGTGATGTTAGATAAGCTGACCAAGCTTTGGTGAATGAACTCATACTGTGGGAGAGCTGGGTACACAAACTTGACTTGACAGGCCTTAACATATATGATAGAATACATGAAATCCTGTGGGTAAGCTATGGGGATGAACATAATGAAGGGGTCTAAATATGATTTTGATCTTTTGTATGAAATGCACAAAAATTCAATAAAACATATACATTGAAACAAGGGGCTATGGTTCCAAACAGAGAGCTCTCAGAAGAAAAAAATGGCTAGGAAACACCTTTAAAAGTGTTCAATATCCTTGATAATTAAGGAAACACAAAGTCAAAACTCCTTTAAAATTGCATTTAAGGCTGGAGAGATGGCTCAGCGGTTAAGAACATTGGTTGTTCTTACAGAAGACACGGATTCAAATCCCAGAACCCACATGGCAGCTAACAACTGTCCATAACTCCACTCCAGGGGATCTGACAGCCTCTTCTGTCCCCCGTTGCAGGACATGGGTGCACTTACATACATGCAGACAGAACACACATACACAGGAAATAAAATTTTTTAAAAAGTTTGAAGAATTTCATTTCAACCCAGTCAGAATGGCTAGTTTCAAGAGAACAAATGATACAAATGATACTAAATGCTAGCAAAGATATGGAGAAAGGGGAAACAATATTTTCTGCTGGTAGGATTGGAAACTGGTGCAACTACTGTAGAAATCAGTTTGGAGAACTCTTAAATAATCAAATAAATCTACAATATGATTTGACTATACCCCTCCTTTCAATACACCTAAAGTATTGCAGAGAGTTTCACAGTCATGTTTGCTGCTGTTCTTTTCACAGTAGGTAAGAAATGGAAAAAAAAACCTAAATATCCCTCAACTGATGAATGGATAATGAAAATGTGGTACATTTACACAACGGAGTTCTACTCAGCGATAAAGACAAAATCATGAAATTTATATATAAATGGATGGAACTAGAAACTGTTATACTTAGTGAAGTAATGCAGACTCAGAAAATTAAGTGATGCAAGTTTTCTCTCATTTGTGGGTATTCGTTCCAAATACTTAGATGTGACTATATATCCTGATGCAACCTTGTTAGCCAGGAAAATGGAAAGGAACTGTGGGAGTAAATGGAAAGAAAGTGCTGGAGAGAGGGATAGTAGGAGACCAGAATTATCAAGGGAGAAACAGGGAAAATAAGGTACTTTAACAGGAGTGGGAGGAGGGTGGTTCATACTGGGGGAGAAAGAGAAAAGATAAGTAATGCTTAGGTGGTAACCGGAGGGAAATGCGTAATTTCAAAAAGCCTACTAAAAATACACATACAATATAAACATATATAACATACACTCATATGTGTGTGTTAACTGAATGCTATATATAGATGTATGCATATATTATATATAGCATACATACATACACACATGTACATATGTACACAAGAATATGCATCCTCACAAACATTTTAACATGTAAAACTGAAAAGGAGCAATATCATATGCTATCAAATATGAGACCTGCTTTGAATAGAACCTGAGAGGGAACTGATTGGTGAGTGGATTATAATAATTCAAATCCCAAAATAAACATGTCTAAATATATAAATTCCATGAGATGGTTCTACTGTAGTACTGATAAATATTAAATATAAGTATCAGAATGAAAAAAAATAATATAGCAAGTCATTATAGAATTAAATGAAGCATGAAATTTGGGCCAATATTTCTCCAAAAATTCAAATAAGGTTTTTACTTAGATAAATATAATTAAATATCATTCTTTTCTGAATTAAGACTTGAGTTATTTACATGTCCACCATATTTATATATCTCATTAAAAGTTTGAATATGTTAAACAACAGTGAAAAATTAAATTAATGAAAGATATTTTTTTGAAAACAGTTTTCTGAATGTAATTGGTTATAATGTGCTATGTAAATGTTATATATTTAATAGCTCAGAAAAAAATGAATTGGTTAGATAGTTTTAAAATGGTGCCCAAGAAAGCAGAGAGATGAAAGATTCTAGACAATAATATATTGAACAACTAAGATTAAAGCAGGAATCATTAAGGTATAAATCCTCATTTTCACAATTTTCAGTCTTTTTGCACCTTCAGAAATTCTGAGTGAAGAGATGAGGCCAGATGGCAACTGAAGAGAACTACACCAGAAGGCCTAAGGGGAGAAACGTTCAAGGAAAGAAGAGCATTTTGATAAATTCCAGTTCAGTTCAGCAAAATTAGACAAAATTAGATAATGCATTGTGGGCAATGTGTTAGGCAAAGTGACATTCTCAGCTTTAGAATAATATAACTTGGTATTAAACTTATAATCTTTTCGCTGCACAAAACCTGAAGACATATCCCCCCCTTTAAAAACACAATGAAAAGGCTAGAGAGATGGCTCAGTGGTTAAGAGGACTAACTGCTCTTGCAGAGGACTCAGGTTGGATTCCCAACATGTTCATGGCCACTAACAACTATCTGTAACTCAAGTTCCAGGGAATCAGAGACCCTCTTTTGAACTCTGCAGGCATTGTATGAAATGGATGCACTTACATGGATGTAGGCAATACTCCCACATATATAAAATAAAATAATAAAAATAAAATATTTTTTTAAAAAGCTAATGAAGCTTTTCCTAAAGACATTAGTATATTTTAAATACATATCTTTCAGGATATTTTTTTGCATTATTTTATCATAAAACAAATGTGGCACTTTATTGAACAAAATCTGTAAAAGGCAATAAGTCAACTAATACATTACATAACACAGGTATTGCACCATGACAAACACCTGCAGGTTCAAACTACAAACTGCTTGTGTCTCAATAATGTCAGAGTGCTTTATGAACTAGCATGCTAAAATTCAGTCTTCACTGTATTTACTTGTGGTACTGAGAGCCCATGAAAGGAGAACATTGTTCTGTTCTGATGTCTAGCTGGACTCGACTACATTCTCTCATGGTTGCATTACTGTTGCGCTAACGAATGCCTTACAGCTATACTCTAAAAAAATCCAAATACAAGTCACACACTGATCCTGAAAAACATCTCCCAGGTATTGTTTACTTGATTCTCTAAGCTTGAACCAAAACCTTGAGTCCTCAGACCTCCTGGGAGCAAAACCTCAGAAAAAGACAGGATAATAAGAATCCCAAGCATCTATAGAAATCAATATGTTGAACTTCTTACAGATTCTCATTACAATATGTTTTCCTACACAGATGGGCAGCTTCAACTGTCAGAGTCATTATCTCAGAAGTAACTCAGTTTCCTCAAGATGTGCATGGGCCTGAAATTGCTTACCTGATTCACAGGCAAATGTCTTTGACGTTTCGTCATGAAAGATAATTGCCACTGCGTGCTTCTTGGTCTCTCGAGGCAGTCTGGTTATATTTTTGATGTTGTGCAGTTCAGTTACCTTGAAAGAGAAAAGTATTTTTACTTTTTAGTTTTGAAGTTCTAGAGCTCAACCCCAAAGCCTGTACATTCTAGGCAAACACCCTCCCACTGAGTTATAGCTCCAATGAGAAAAGTATTTTTTAAAATATTTTAATTATTATTTTTATTTTATGTGTATGCATGTATTGTCTGCATGTAGCTAAGTGCACCCATGTCATGCAATGCCTGCGGAGGACATAAGAGGGTGTTGGATCCTCTGGAACTGGAGTTGTGGACAGTTGTTAGCTGCCATGTAGGTGCTGGGATTCGAACCTGGGTCTTCTGCAAGAACAGCCAGTGTTCTTAACTGCTGAGCCATCTCTCCAGCCCCCAAGAAAAGTATTTTTAATTTAGTACATAGTATATGTGCTATACTGTGGTGCATAAGCAAAATGTCCAATTATCAATACCTTAAAACACTTTGCAAGGGATAAATGTAGAAATTTCAAATTAACTCTATACAAAACCAATAAAGAAGAAAACATAATTTCTTCAGTTAAGCTTTCAATTTTGGCCATTGTTTATATTAGTAGCTGTATTTGAAATGTTGTAATGATAAAGCAGAATAGCTTCATGGTATCTCTGTGTTTAATAAAGTTGTATCCCCAGTAAGCAATAACAATTTTATACAAATAATATTCTCATTAAATATCTGTTGAATATTGATGAGATTTAGCACCTCATCTCTCCCCTAATACCCACCTATCATGAAAGTTCCAGATAGTATTCAGGCACACAGCATCTGGCACTTACCAATGGGCTAAGTCAAAGGTTTATATTTCAAGGCTCCAATCATTGAAATAGAAGTTTTGGAACATGTGTACTAGTTATTTTCACAAGTATAACCTCAAAGGACAGAAAACTAATGAGTGTTAGATCTCTGACACCAAGAGAACTAAAGGAGCTTAAGAGTGAGATTTTAGACCCAGGAGGTAGTGTTGGTACATGTTGCCCTTTTATTATTATTGTTATTATTATTATTATTACATGTTGCTGTTTTGTTCTTTTTTAAATATTTTATTTACTATTTTTATTTTATGTATATGAGTGTATTGCCTACATGCATGTTAGTGCACCCGTGTCACTCAATGCTCGTGGAGGTCAGAAGAGGGCATCAGATTCCCCTGAAACTGGAGTTGTCAGTGGTTGTTAGCCACCATGTGGTGCTGGGAATCAAACCCCGGATCCTCGGCAAGAACAGCCAGTGCTCTTAACCCCTGAGCCATCTCTCCAGCCCCAGTATTTTGTTCTTATTAATAAATTTGGTTCCTTCACAATCTCACACATGCATGTAATAGATCGTGATTACTCTCCCACCTCAATTGTATTTTTAATAGTTGCACTAAGTGTGGAAAAGGACCTTTCTAATATCCAGCATCTTCTAAGATTTTTAATTTAATCTATATATGAGTTTCATGAAATCGTGTTAAGTTGATATCAGCATCATCCTGTTAAGTTGATATCAGCATCATCCTTGTATGATAGGAAAAAACTTGAAGATCAGAGAATGTACCTATCCAATGTTACAAACTCTGGCGAGCAGGGGGACCAAATGTTCCTAATGTCGGGATATCTGAGTTCTCCAGTTACAGCTCTCTAGAGCAGATTTAATGTAAGAAGCAACCTCTTTGATAAAGGCCTCTCTTCTGACTTACTTGTGTAGCAAACAGTGCTTTTACTTTATTGCACATGAGTCAACTGTTTTGAAGGAGACTGATGAAGAGAAAATATTGAATTACATTCACAACTTAGAATACCCTACTAAAAAATTTACACAGTATTCCAAGTATAATGTACATAATTTATTTAATTTCAAAATTTCTTCCTCATTTTTGAGGATAGTACCTCTAATATTGATTGGACACCATAATATAGAACTAGTTAAAATGATCAGTTCCTGCCCCAAACTTGCACGCATATAATACAAAATGACATCTGCAAAATGAAATTAGATGGTTACAGTTCTAAGGGCTTTATGTTACTTCTCTCTTCATTGAATCTTTAGTGTTCCAGTTATATGACATCATAGAAGAAAAAGTCTATTATTTATAGTTACTGGACAGGCTACTAAGAATAGTTCTTAATTTTTTCATACTTAATCACAATTCTGTCACATCCAAGAAAATGAGTTCTAATATATCCCTTATTTATATTTGCTTTCTTCTCTACTTGTTATTTTACTTAAGAGTAAGATGCAAAATTAAAATGGTAGGAACGGTTATTTTTGGTATAATGTAATTTTTATATATAAATATATCTGTATATATGCATGCATATACATTCTATCATCTAACTTTAAATCATCTATCATCTATTTATAATCTAGTTATAAATTATCTGTCAATCTATCTATCATCTATCTATTATAATCGGTCTATCTGATCTATCATCTACCTGAAGTTTGTTCCTCTCCCAAGAAAGAAATTACAAACAATATCTTTCAATTTATGAAGACCAGTACCCTGGTCTTCTTTTTTTCTTTTTAAACAATGATACATATTCTATTTTAAGCACAGGAAAGTATGTTTTCAAATAGAATTGAACTTTTGAAAATCTAAAAGATATAAAAATTTACTGAAATGATGTTTAAGTCAAATTTTATTCTAAGCTAGTAAATTGAAGTTATGGTTGAGAAGGGATATTATTTCCAAAGAGTATTAACTTCAGCTAAACTGATAATAAAACAGTGAAGACTGTGAGTTAAGGATTATTTTCCAAATGTGAGTATAAATTTCATGTACTACTATGAAGTTATACAAAATTTCTGTATTAAACAAAATAATATCATTTAAACATTTATAATTCTGAAAGGGCTTTTCCAAATGTTTTTATTTATAAATACAAGATAATACCAGAATGGATACTCTGGAATTTATATTTGATTTTTATTCTCATAGCAAAAATCAGCAAACTAAACTTGTAGATAGATTTTTGAAACATAGCAGGCACTAGGGATTACCTTACATCAGGGCCTCTGGCAATCTGACAGGTGATACAGTTTAAACAAAGCCCTTGCTCTACTGGAAAATTTACATTTAGAAATGCAGACTTTCTGCAAGCAGATCCTGTTCCCATGGTTTCCACAGTAATGAAGGGGTGGTGTTGATGAACATTATCATGCCATCACATCTTTAGCTTAAGAATTTAAAGAGGTGTCAGGAAAGAAAAGTATTAATGAGAAATATAAAATTCCCCTTCCAAAAAATTCTGAATCTTAACAATTTAGACTAGGATCTATGTATTTACAGCTCCTATCTTCATTTTACTCTCAAAATTATATGGATTTGCCATGCCTGTGTATAGCTGAAGGCTATGGAACAAAAAATACAGTGCCAGGCAGGGAAACCTCCTTTTGAGTTGACGGTCAGAGTAGTCCAAGAGACCTCTGTGGGGAACTATATGTCCTTAAATTAGGTCAACTTCTAAATAATTTCTAGTTTTCAAAATAAAAATGTTACCATTATTAGTGTAAAGCCTACTAACATAAAATAAAAATAATTATCACATATAAAATTGACATTCATTAAAATTGTGAAATCTTGCAATTTTCTTTCTTTTTTTTTAAAATTTTATGTGTATGAATGTTATGCTTGCATGTGTGTAAGTGCACATCCATGACATGCACTGCCCATGGAGGACAGAAGAGAGCATCAATTTCCCTGAACTTGGAACTACAGATGGTTGTTAGCCACCATGTTGATGCTGGAATTCAAACCCAGGTCTTCTGCGCAAATAGCCAGTGCTCTTAACCACTGAGCAATCTTTCCAGCCCCCAAATCTTATAATTTTCAATACTAAAACCAGTAAATTATTTTCTCACTTAAAAACTCGACATAAAAATGTATTTTTACATGACTATAAAGTCACAATATATCTAGCAAAATTTGTCAGTGACTTTAAATAAACACAAAGTTACCATGGAACTGAGTAAAATGAATATTTGGAAGTAATTCAGGATGTTCAGATCTCAATCAAAAAGTGTAATGGGAAACAATTTAAAATCTTTGGATCTGACCAGTGACAGAATTAATATGTAAATATAAACATATGTAAGTGAAAATTCTGCTGACTTATGCTATTTCACTTTTATTTAATGTATAATCCTAATTAAGTCATGGTTTAAAGTACAGATAGGTCAAAGGTGAAAGATATAACCCTTTTCTGTAGACCTCATCATTGTGTGGGGTGAAAAGTTTATACATGACAATGAAAAGCCCACATTACAGGGGCTGAAGGGATGGTTAAGTGGTTGAGTGCATAAAGTTCTTGCAGAGGACCTGAGTTTTGTTTCTAGCCTGTAACTTCAGCTCTGCAGGATCTGACACCCTCTTCTACCCTCCTTGGGCAGTGTACTCAACTGCACAAACCCACACAGATACACACACCTATATACATAATTAAAATAAGAATAAAATATTAAAAATAAGCACAACAGAAAGCACAAAAGAGCAAAGTATTCAATTACAAATATCTTTTTTTTATTATTTGAGAATTTCATACACCCACACAATGCATTTTGACCAAATCACCCGCATTCCCTCTCCACCAATTGCCCCCGTCTCTGTCAATGTATGAGGTCTTAGGCTGCCATTTTACAGATATAACATTTGATTTAAAATAGTAAAAAAATGACAAAAATTGATAGTTAACAAGCCTTATTCTTTCCCCCAAGCTTATGCTTACCAGTTATAGATGTTAGCGCTTACCAAGACATATGTGCTTATGCACCCCTGTAGTTCTAGCTCTTGGGTGGCAGAGGCAGGCAGATCTCTGTAGTTCAAGGCCAGCCTATTCTACACAGCAAGCTTCAGGTCAGCTATTGCTACACAGTAAGACTCTTTCTCAATACACCAAAACAAAACAAACAAAACAAAAACAGAATTACCATAGTTATCATAAAAGATATTATACCTTGTATTTTATATATTTAATTGTTATCTATTATGTGTTTAAAAGTACTAGTAGTCTCTTTTTATTGTA